AACCCTTGGATGCACTTTGTCTCTATAAGCTGAGCTTCACCAATCTGAGTTAAAGCCACTTTTCACTGTATCTTGGATTCATTTCCACGTTCTTATGAATCACCATGATTACTTGCTTGAGAAAGTGTGTCAAAACATGAGACACATCTTCTTTCTTCCTTCAGCCACCTCAAATGATCCATTTGCAACCAGAAAACCACTAAGAACTTGTCTTTAATTTCTGCAGCCTTGTCTTCTCTCTACTTGGAACATTCTTCATGATCTAATTGTGAAACAACTTAGGCTGATACACCATCAAACCATACCTCAATCCCATAAATAAAATCTTGTACTTTCCTGTAGCCAATTCCACTATATACTTGTCTTGCACCGCTGTTCAAACGAACAGGACACGCCGCCTAACACCCTTTGGCTAGGAAGACTTTCGACACAAGAAAATAGTACAGCCAATTGCATACCATCAGATGCTTCTTTTAACACTTGAAGATCTGATCCAAAAAACACAAAACACAAGATACACTCTGAGAAAATATTGCTCCACCCGAGATAAGAACTCCTTGTTCCTTAAGCAAAATTACCATGTGTTACGCCAAACACAAATTTGCACAGAACATGAATCTTTTATGCTGCCACTACCTTGTCAAGAGAATTCGTTCTCATGACCAAACAACCACAAACTGTCCAGCTTACACCAAACAACATGCTTACAAACCACGCTGCATTCCCTCTGAAAATAGCAGCCTTGTAGCTTCACGTTCTCTGATGATCCACAACCTGTAGATTCTCTCATTCACAAGAACTGACAACTACACACAGAGATAAACCTGCAACCGAAACCCCTTTCAAAAAACTCAGCCAATACCAATGAAGTTTCCATAACATTTTTCTTTCTTGAATAAACAGATAACATGACTTGCTTCATAACCATTCTGCAACCTCCTTTAAGCTGAACCAAGAGTACCCTTACTGATACACACACAGCCATAAAACGCCCATAAGCTTTAAGATTCTAAGGCATCCCCTAGTTCCATGAATCTTATGAGTTACCGGGCTGGAAACACGATAGTTAGAACACCACCTGAAAACTGACTTTACCAAACTGATTCAACCAGAAGATAACATGAAAAAACCATCAATGAATCTTGGCTTAACTCTTGTAAAACCAGTACATAACACTTGTGTTCCAACAAACTTCCATTTCCAATAAATATGCAGAACTTGAGCAACCTGAAACTTCAATACAGAGCATCACAAAATACCTTGTGACTGCAGCGGAATCAAACTTTTTCCCAAAACTTGAGTCTTGAAGTTGATGTTCAATTTCGACATCAACTCTAACCGGTTTCTTCAACAATGATCAAGAATCCAATCTTCGATCATATTCTTCTTGCTTCCATCTCTGAATTTCTTCTTCCATTCCAATCAAGAGTAAACAAAGACACATACTTGTGACTGTCGTCGTTCTTTACTCACTACAACCTCCAATTTCTTTATAGAAATTAGAAACTTTAGATTTACCGGAAGGTCTCCCAGCTTCGCAAATCCAACTTAAGCTTCAACTTTCACATCTCTTTCATATATTGAAGCTCCTCTTTCTGATATCAACACAGACAAGAACTGATGCACCATCAACCGAAATTTCCACAAAAAATTGGCTAGGCATCTGTCGTTGTTGACTATCCTCTAAAGCTTCAATCTCGACACGTCAACAAAGGAGAAGCAACAAGAGAAACGTGACTTGTTTCTATTTTGACTTGTGGGCATCAAGAGATCTTAGCCCACTTAAAACATTTACTAATGAGAGACAAGGCCCATCTTGGTCCAACTTGAAGAAAAAATATTTGTCGTACCTTGACCTTTCTTTTCCTCACCCGTCGGCTACCGTAACATGATTTCCCGGCCAACATCCAGATGTTATCCGGTGACTTTATGCCCACCACATCTACGCGATTCTCTCTCACCGTGCATCTCTTCCTCGACAGCAAAACCCAAGGCTTCTTCTACGACTCGTTCTGCTCGTGACGGCGCCGTCTACACTTTCACGACGTCGTCGGAAACTCGAGCCACTCCGCCGAAATCCCAGCCTTCTCCGGTGAGAATCTCTCCGACTTCCTTGTCGTCGATCTCTGAACACTACTAGAGCTCGCGACAAGATTCCTCTGCTAAATACCCAGATTTCTATCGAAATCTTCTGTCTTCCTCTATCTTCTTCTCTCAATGCTTCCAGCAGGTCTAGTTCTTCTTAGATGGACAAGACACGCCGTCTTTTATGAGATATACTCTCCAACCCATCGTTCTTCTCTAGAGCTGCACTTCCCGAAGCCATTGCTTGACAAAGGTGTGACCTTTTTCGACAAAGCTTACAATTTCTTTGTAAAGCTTGAATCTTTCTCAAGAGACTTGAAGATTCTGGATAAAGCTTGAGTCTTTCAGCACTAACCTGTGCTCTGATACCACTTGTAGAGGTTTTTAGCCTCTCAAAGGCTCTAGCTTAAACCCATTTGTCATCAACACCATATTACGGAAACAAATCAAGTAAAGTATGGAGAAGAAGAGGAAGATAAAACAGAGCAAGATGAAGGAAGAAGAGGAGCACACAAAGGATTTGTTAACCCGGTTCACGGCATTAACGAGCCGCTACGTCCGGTTAGGATCGATAGATCCACAACTCCACTATGAAGAAGAAGGTATTACAAACAAGAAGCTACAAGTGACCCGTCTAATACCCTTCACTAGTACTTAGACTCACTCTGTACCACTTCCTGTATAACTCAGAGAACAACAATGACAAGCTTACACTAATACATGTTTTCTCTCATCTCTATACCTTACTAACTCTTCTTCTTAGATCTACATTGTGCTATTACACTCTCTCCTCTGTCTCTTCTCCCTTGGCTTCTCTCAATGAACATAAGCACCTATATATAGACAAAGCTAACTAGGGCTTCCTTGAGCTAAAGCAAACCGCAACCCTCTTTGAACACAAACAGACAAAATGTCCTTATGGCTGAAATGAGGCTACTTCCAAGCAATTTCCTTCATAGCCGTTTCCCCATGACTCTAGTCCAAAAGTAACTCAACCAAGGTTTGATTTATATCACCTTTGGTTAGTCTTTAACGGTTGTGAGTTTTACACTTAATATTGGCTTGTGCTTCAAGCTATCATCTTCACATATCATGTTCAAATTGCTCAACGAAACTGATAAAATCAGGATCATCGCTTAATTGCAAAAAATGTGGTAAATCACAATCCGTAGGAGTTCTAAGGTATTATTCATTGTATTATTATATCTAATTCTTACATATATTCTAACTTATTATTAAGTTTCCATATATTAAGTTAGTATGTACTATTTCAGTTTCAGAATTGGAGAAAATTCATTCCTATAAGCTCATTATTTTTTTTCAGATTTATTGCTTCCCACTTTCTTGCAAGACGTACTATCGTTCGACGATAAGAACGTTTTTTGTTTAGTTAATCTAGTGTTATATATTCTTTGTTGTTGTTTTCAACTTGTGGACTCATCTTGTGTTTGATGATATCTATTCTGAAAATTAAAAAAAAAATTAAAAAATTAGTTATAAATTTAATAAAATATTGATATGTGGATATTATGACTTTTAACAAAAAGTTATATGTGTGGACCAAAGCTCAGTCAAATTAACCGTTGACACAACGAAAGAAGAAGACTCTTTTTATTTTGGTGGGTACGAAAGAAGAAGACTTAACTACAATATTAAGTTACAGAAGATTCCCACTTTAAGTAATAAAATATAATAAAAAGATTGATGTCGAATCTTCATACAACAAACGTATGTCATCACGAAGTTAAAAAATCATAACCGATAGTAATCGAACTACTACGTATAGAACTTAGATTCTACATTAATCTGGAGAAAGTTAGATTCTTACTGCATTCTCCAGCAATCATGGGGTTTTTTAATTTTTATCTGTGTTAAGTGTTCTTGAGTTTCTTCTTGAGTCGTTTTAATGTGATTTGATTCAATTGAGGGATCTTTTGACTGCTAGAGAATGTTCTTGAGTTATTTTAAGGTTTATAAAAACCTTGTAAAAACTAATCTTATGTTTTAGATTTAGATTTTTACTGTGTGAATACCATTGTGTTTTAGATTTGAAAATAATATCCAATGTGAATGTTTTCAAAGGGTTTCGGATATCCAGTGTCTGTTTATATCCAGTGTCTGTTTAATGATTGAAAAGTTTAAAGTCCATGATGCTTTACTTGTAATGTTCTTGAGTTTATTCTTTAGTTGTTTTAAGGTTTATAAAAACCTTATAAAAACTAATATGATACCCTTGATTTGCAGATGGAATCCACAACCCTCAAGTTGCCATTGCGAGCATATGATCCGGGTTCACAGCCGAAATTAGAAGCAGGTGTAAGACAATATTCGAGACTCAGCTACGTGCAGAAGGTGGAGTCTATATTAGGAGCGGAGAAATTCAAGCCCCTGGAAAGCTCATTTCTTCGTCCCGTCATTGAGCTTTCCAGAAGAACTGGAATAACAGTTTCAGGGAAAATGTTACACTTCTTGCTGCAAAGAAGGTTGTTTACAAGAGGAGATAGTCTTTGGTTCAGTTTTGCAGCACAGCCTATAAGATTCTCAGAAAGAGAATTCTTCCTCACGACAGGTATTTTATTTAGTTTAAACAGTTTGTTTGTTTTTTGTATTAACTTGTTGATGCTTGTTATGCTTGTTAAAACCTTATAAAAAACAATATGATACCATATAAAAACCATGTAAAAACCATGGATGAACCTTATAATATCATATAAAAACCATAAAAAACGGGTTACATTTACTATATAAAAACCATATAAAAACCATGTAAAAACCATGTATCAACCATATAAAAACCATGTAAAAACTATATAAAAACCATATAAAAAGGGTTTTATAACATTATAAACCTTACATTTACCATGTAAAAACCATGTATCAACCATATAAAAACCATGTAAAAACCATGTATCAACCACTGGGATTCAATCCGTGATCCCAATTAAACAAAGGGACAAAGCCAGTGGGCCATTTTGTGTTCCTAGGAAATGCAAGTCAAAAAAGTAGTGTAGACACCACATCTTCTATCTCCACACGCATAGAATCCGCAATCTCACTCATGAATACTTACAAACCAATCAATCTACGATGCAAAATCACTGTGATCACTGTGAACCTATATATAACAGATTTAACAGATCATATAAAAACCATATAAAATCAGTGAAAACCTTTATAAAAACCATAGAAAAGCATTAAAAAAGTTATACCTGACTGCTCTGGCCTTTCTCCTTTTTATCCACATTGATTTTCATAACGTGCTCTATCACCTCCAGTCTTCTGTCTAAATCTTCAAGACGAGTCAGGATCTTGTCCAGCTTCTCGCTGTCTGAGATCCTGATTCTCTTTGCACCAATTTCTTGCAAAGCAGAAACAACATCGAGCTTCTTCTTGATCCAATCGCTTTTCTTAAGCTTATATCCTTGAAGGATGATCGCAATAATTTCTTCAAAATCTGGGTCAGGTTCACTTTCTTCAGACAGGAGGTTGAAGTTTGGTGTGCAGAAACCAATAGTTGATGATTTCTCCTACAAAATGTAAAACAACAACAAAATTAGTACCAAATGCTATTTAATATCGGCTAATGATAAAGTTGAGGTTTAAAACAGAACCTTTGTTTTATCTTGATCTCCATCAGTCTGGGTGTTTTCATCGTCCCCAGCGTAGCTCCCTCTTGTGTGTTGGGATCACGGATTGAATCATCAAGAGTACTTGCCACATCGGGGTCTTCATTGTGATCACCATCACCATCTTTATTAGCACCATCATCCTCATTGTGATCACCATCACCATCTTTAGTAGCACCATCATCCTCCCTATGATCACTGTGAACCTATAACAGATTTAACAGATCATATATAAACCATATAAAATCAGTTGATGAAGTTATATTTTATGGGACAATATGAATATAAAAACCATATAAAATCAGTTGAGACCATAAATTAACCAACATAAATTAACCAAATTAACCAAAGCTTATTACTCCTGTTAAACTATAGTATTCACAAAAACATGAAAAAAGAAAGAGGACACTCTCTGACCAAAGGGCAAAGGCACACTTTCTGAATAGTTTCAAAGCATCTTCTTGGTTTTATAGACCTTGAAGCTCATAAGTCTCATTGACATGGGTCAAGAACTTGTTTTTCTCCTGAGCTTAAATGCTTAATCATGATGATCAAGCTCCATGGGCCGAACCGATCAAACCCAAAAAAAAAACAACTATGCGTCTGGAGCATTTTTGCCCATCATATAGAACAACGAGAACTATTTTTCTACTATGGTTTGGAGCTATGCAGTATGGGCTAAGCCGCTAAGGCCTGATGCTGGAGTTATGGGATGAACCTGAAAAAGAAGTTAAAAGCTCAATTATTATTTAGGCCCATGCGGCTGTTAACTGCATTCACAACAAACATAGTGAGAAAGAATTGATGTTAGGATACAAAGAGACACTTATCTTTGTATGGTGGAAATTGACCAATCTCTGTATGTACTGTGCACTCCTGTGATAGTGAAATCGTCTATGGATGTACATTGATCGATTGAGATAAGCAATTGGGTATCAAAATATATTTAGTTTAGGTTCATCGTCCTTTTGGCGACTAACGTTATCAAGTGTACTTTAATGTTTCCACAAGAGAATTACATGGAAAAACTGATCCTGCAGTTCAAACATCAAATGGGACTCAATATCTAGCACTAAAAGTAAAAGTACTATTGGACCTGTTAAAGAGATATGGATTTTGGAGAATGGAATTGTAACTGTTTACAAACTAATATATTGTTTTCAGTTTTCACTTGTCAATTAATATATACATAGAAGATATTAAACAAAATGATTTTACATATTTATACAACTTAGTGATATATAAACAATCAAGATGAGTTTTATTATGATTTCTACAAATTATTATAACTAGATACATTCTCTATTTTAATTTAAGCTAAGTTTTGTCCAACATAAATTTTAATTTGATATATATTGACCAAAGCCATTAGGTTGATCTCGATCAAGTTTAATCTTCAATAACTCAGGATTTCCATATCTTATTTGTTTGATGCCATTAATGTTCTTACCATTCGATTCTCTATTCTTCCGTACAACTTCTAGACAAATTTTGGTCACAACGCAACCGCCAGAGAGATTAAGGAGAAGTTGGAGATGATGCTCTAGCTGATCGTGATCATGCGAGTTTGAGAAGCTTTTCCAACATGATGCTTTTGGTGTAAGTGTTCATACAAGGATCTCATCAGAGAGTTATAATCCAATCTGTAAACCTTTAGATTACTAGGCAGAGACTTGGAGATGCGGTTGTAAAGGCCGAATCCAGGGTTCTTCTGAGAATAAGATCGAAATTCGCATTCAGCCGACAAGTCGGATGGGGTCATAATTATTATATTGCTATCTCTAGTGGCCTGAAAAAAACATGGAAGAGAAAGATAAGAGATGATCAACTGATCACGACTAGTCAATTAGTACGTTATTTGATTACTGACTTTTAAATACAAGTTCAGTATTTTAGTTAATATTTGACTCTATTACATAAGTCTGTTTTTAGATTATTTTGAAAACTTTTTTCTTTTTTCAGCAAAGTTCATATAGATTTGAAAATATTACAAAATGGAATAATATAGGTATAAGAGTACTATTACATACCAAAACCGCATTGTGATCTGACTGGAGCTCCTTATTTTCGTGTACTTCATCGTCTTCTTCACATATATTGCTTGGGAGACCATGGCAATATGACCGTGGAGTGACCCACAATGGCCGCACCAACCGGTATTCATTCGACTATGCGAACCGGCGAATCACTTTAGCACCATTAGATCAAAGTGAGGTTCGTGCTATGCAAGCTAAGTCAAAAAAAAAATCAATAACAAGGTAAATTTTTATGCTGAAAAGATTATTACCCCCTATCTTGATGACGATATGATACGCTTGTCTTCTGTCAAAAGGCCTTAAACAGGTTTGGAGAAGCTAGAAGATCCACCGGATACGCTTACTCTCAAACTAGATGAACCAATTAAGAAGTTACCGAAGCTGTACCAGAGGCAAAACCAAGGCGTAATCTACTCCATGCTAATCCAAGAAGCACCTCCAGTGACGCAAGACTGGACCAGACCCTCACCACTTCAAGGTAAGATCTTAAACTCGCAAAGAAAATCATATACTAACTTACTTTCGTTTGGTACAGGTCCTTTAGTTTCGAGGTCGAAACTTCTTCAAGAGAGAGGGTATGATGCGGACATCGTACCTGATACAAGAGATGGCTTACTTACTGATGCACTGGCTGACGAACTGCTTGGAGGACTTTCTGATGAACCTGCTGAAGTACTATTTGTGCTGCAACAGCTTGAACCAAATAAGGAAGATCGTGAACCAAACTTGGAATCAGCTGATACCATGACTTGGGAACCCTCTTGGAGTCTTAGAAGGTTCATATTTTGCCAAGGAAAGCGTCCTAATTCATTTGGAGAAGAAGGGTACTCAAAAAAGAAAGAAAGAGCTCCACTTGCCTTATTTGAAGATCTCCACACTTATGTGCACCTAGGACCAGTTATCCAGCGTAATCTTCACCTAAAAACACACATCATCACTTGGAGAAAGAGGCCACCACGACTTGCCTCATTTTACAACTCGCTCCCACAAGTTTCCTAATCCTAACCGAGTGCATCTGAGCCCTTCAATGCCAACGGCTAGGAGATCAACTTTCCTTTCAAGTTTTTCTTTTAATTTTGCATATTTTACTTCCTTATGTGATGTTTTAGACCGTTGTTGGTCGAGCCTATAAAAGCTCAGCCTCTTTGTTCTTTGTATTAACCAATTTTTCAAGTAATAAAGTTCAGTTTGTTTCGCTTTCAAAGTTAGAGTCTTTGAGCATTTGTTTGAGTCATTATATTCTCTTTGTGAGGTTTCCCCTTAGAGCTTGTCTCGTGAGTCCCTTAGCCTTGTGTGGGTTCCCCTTGGCAGGGCCGTAGCTGGATAGAAGCGAGAGAAGCGGGAGCTGCGGCCCTCAGAGAAGTTATTAATATTTTTGGCCCTCAAATACCAATGTGTTTTGGTAGCCTAGTTGTATTATGTCATACACCACATACCTTAGGTTATGAGTTCGAATCACCTGAAGTGTGAGAGAAGGTTTTTTTTTGTTTTTTGTTTTTTTATTATGATTAAATTTTTTTATAAGTATACACTTTTCTAGAGCGGCCCTTTTTTTTCGCGGGCGGCCCTCATAATCGTTGCTACGGCTCTGCCCCTTGGTTAATTGATTCGTTTTGGTTACTAATCGTCTCCATCACCACCGCTACGACACTTCCGCAAGCCATCAAGCGTTGAATTCTTGATCCACCTCTTGATTTAAGAACAGTGTGACTCTGTTCTTGTATCATCTGGTATTAGAGCTAAAAGCTCCAATCTATCCAGGTTCACTCTTTCCTTTCTGCAATCTCAATTCCGTTTTCAGATTTCTTAAACCAAAAAAAAAAAAAAAGTCGTTTAGGTTTATTTTTTGTTTTAGTTTTATAAAATCCATAAACTCTAATAAAAAAAAATTCGTTTTTGTTTCAGTAATTAGTTTCATTCAAAAACCAAAAAAACAAAAAAACAAAAAAAAGTTTTATTCGTTTTAAGATTAATTTTCTATTTTAATTTAATTAAAACCAAAAATTCAAATCTCTGTACTACTAGTTGTTTCAGTTCTTGATCTCTTGATATAAATTTGTGCAAGGTAACCTGAGACGATATGGAAAAAGAAGCAGCACCGTAAGACGCTCTCACCCGTATGCTAGCTGAGATGAAAGAAGATTTGAGAAATTTTAACAACCGGATGGGTACTCTTAGCCACGAATTCACCGCAGTGCGAACTGATCTAGGCACTCGGCTGGACCGAATTGAGCAGCCACGAGCCAACCCACCACGAGCTGCTATACAAGCCATAGGAAACTTGTTTCCACGTGCCAATGAACCAAGAGTAGAGGAACCGCCTGGCCGAGACGAAGCTCCACCAGAACAAGAACACAATCCTCCTCCTCTACCGAATCAACAAGAGGCTTTTCAGCCACGGATGAGGGATCCATTAAACCGAGGAAGAATCCAACAAGAGGACGCCCTTAGACAAGGTATAAAAGACGTTAAGCTAATCCCACCTACATTTGCAGGAACCACCAATACCGAAGTCTACCTTGATTGGGAAGGACGCATGGAACATATCTTCGAGTACTATGGCTATACCGAAAGAAGGAAAGTCTCCTTAGCCACTGCCCAATTAACTGAAAAGGCCCTCACTTGGTGGGATCGAGAGGTAGATGAAAACCGGAGACTCCACCGCGCACCCATAACCTCATGGGAGAACATGAAGTTCTACTTACGGAGAAGGTATGTCCCACCACACTATAATCGTGATTTGCAACAAAAGTTTCGTAAATTATGTCAGGGAAACAAAACCGTGGAAGCATATTTCGGAGAGTTCGAACAAATCAAGAACCGCCTAGGCTTACTTGATTCAGAAGAATCACTAATGGTACAATTCGCCAATGGCCTTAATGAGAAGGTGTTGGGCAAAGTCGAGAGGCAAAACAACGAGACTCTCCATGGCCTATTTCACTTAGCTGTCCAAGTTGAAGAACAAAACAAGAGGAAGGCACCTATAAAACCACGCAACACATCCCAACTCGTTGATAAAAATAAGGCCGTCGAGAGCGATTCTAATTCCAAAGCGAAACTCCAAAAACGGACCAGAGATCAACGCTATGATCCAGGTAAGTCTTCCAACCATACTTGTGACATTGTTTGTTTTAAGTGTAAGGGAAGGGGCCACATGTGTTGGAGTAAGCTTGAAGGTTAAGTAACTTGAGCAATAAGTTACTTAATAAAAGGAAGATTAGCTTAGATATTCTAGGAGTTATCTAGAATATTCTAGAAGTTGTAAGTCCTAATTGAGTTAGGATTAGGTCTTGAGAGTTTTATATAAATAGAGGTACCAAGGTGTGGTAACCCAAAGAGTTGAGAGAATAGAGTTTGAGAGCTTAGGTTTTGAGTTATTTTCCTAAGACATTAATAAGAGAGTTATTCTTGTTAATCTTGTGTTCTTGAAACTTTATTGAAACTAGATTTGGTATCAGAGCTTTAGGGTTTGATATCCGGATACACTACGAAGATCATACGAACCATAAGTGAGATTATCGCAACCACCGGTAAACCAAAGGAAGGAGGAGGAGCGTCGGCCATACAGTGTACAATGTTAAACACGGCGAACTACACTGTTTGGGCCATGAGAATGAAAGTAGCACTGCGTGTGAACAAGGTTTGGGAAACAATAGATCCCGACTCGAGTGATGTTGAGAAAAACGATATAGCTCGAGCACTCTTGTTTCAATCCATACAAGAAGCTTTGATCCTACAAGTTGGTGACCATGAAACCTCGAAGGCTGTTTGGGATGCGATTAAGGCAAGGAATCTTGGTGCAGAATGGGTAAGAGAAGCGAGACTGCAAACTCTTATGGCTGAGCTTGATAGGATAAAGATGAAGGAAACCGATATGATTGATGATTTTGCTGGCAAACTCTCGGAAATAGCCACCAAGTCAGTATCATTGGGAGTAAGCATTGAAGAGCCAAAGATTTTGAAGAAGTTGCTTAAGTTAGTTCAGCTTCAAGAGAAAGAAAAAGAAGATGACACACATGAAGCTGAGTCTCTTATGATGCATGAAGTGGTCTTTCTTAATGAGAAGAATGCGAGACCTAAAGAACTTGAGGGATGCTCGGACAAAGCTTGGTACTTGGATAATGGCGCCAGTAATCATATGACAGGAAATCGGGAATGGTTTTGCAAGCTAAACAAGTTGGGTACGGGAAAAGTGCGGTTTGGCGATGACTCATGTATTGACATTAAAGGAAAAGGTTCAATCTTGTTTGTAAGCAAAGGAGGAGAGAAAAGAATCTTGGCCGAGGTTTATTACATACCGGATCTTAAGAGTAACATTATAAGCTTAGGGCAAGCTACGGAGTCGGGATGTGATATTAGAATGAAGGAAGACTACCTTACTCTACAAGACTGTGATGGAAACTTATTGGTAAAGGCGGTACGATCAAGGAACCGGCTCTACACGGTTGATTTGGAAGTTGAGACTACGAAGTGTTTACAACTTGAAGTAACAAGTGATTCATCTAAGTGGCACGCACGACTAGGACACGTTAATTTTGAGAACATAAAGACAATGGTCACAAAAGAGCTAGTGATTAGGATCTCTAGTGCACCAAAAGATAAGGAAAATTGTTCTTCATGCTTACTTGGAAAACAAGCAAGGAAAGTGTTCCCTAAAGCCACTCTGTTTCGTGCGTTACAACCATTAGAGCTTGTTCATAGGGATCTTTGCGAACCAATCTCACCTTCCACTGTTGCGGAAAAGAGGTACGTCTTCATGTTAATTGATGATTATTCACGTTACATGTGGTCAATCTTGTTGAAAGAGAAGAACGAAGCGTTTGAGAAATTCAAAGTCTTTAAGGCTTTGGTAGAACAAGAAACCGAAAAAACCATTAAGACTTTCAGAACAGATAGAGGTGGAGAGTTCGTGTTGGGAGAATTTAGAAATCATGGAATCAGAGATATTGATACCATTGTTGAGAAAGAGGAAACAGAGGAAAACAGAGGAGATAGTAACAATGTCGATGAGGAAGAAGATGAGGATTTTGATGAAACTGTGGGAATTTGGGCTAATTATGGAATCAGAGATATTGATACCATTGTTGAGAGAGAGGAAACAGAGGAAAACAGAGGAGATAGTAACAATGTCGATGAGGAAGAAGATGAGGATTTTGATGAACCTGTGGGAATTGACCAAGAACAAACACCACAGCCCGTGCCTGTTCTAAGGAGATCCGGAAGAGAAATAACAAAGCCAAAGTATTTGAATGACTATGTGTTATTAGGGGAGATCGAAGGAGAGCAACTTTTGATGGTGATCAATGAGGAACCATGGGATTTTCAAGAAGCAAACAATAAGAAAAAATGGAGAGATGCATGCGAAGAAGAAATTCTCTCCATAAATAAAAACAAGACTTGGACCTTGGTTGATCTTCCCGTCAATGTCAAGCCAATTGGATTGAATTGGGTCTTTAAGTTGAAGCGTAATTCAGATGGGAGCTTGAACAAACACAAGGCAAGGCTGGTGGCGAAGGGTTATGTACAAAAACATGGTATAGACTTCGATGAAGTCTTTGCTCCCGTGGCTCGTATTGAGACAGTTCGGTTCATTATTGCTTTAGCGGCTTCAAATAGATGGGAAGTGCATCATCTCGATGTTAAAACGGCGTTTCTCCATGGTGAGTTGAAAGAAGATGTTTACGTCACTCAGCCCGAGGGTTTTGTAGTCAAAGGAAGTGAGAAGAAAGTTTACAAACTTCACAAAGCTCTCTATGGATTAAGACAAGCTCCACGGGCTTGGAACATCAAACTAAATGAAATTCTCAAGGACTTAAGCTTTGAAAAGTGCTCCAAGGAACCTTCACTATACAGGAAACAAGAAGGAGAGAGTCTTCTAATTGTAGCAGTATACGTTGATGATTTACTTGTTACCGGGTCTACCTTGGAGATCGTAGTTGACTTTAAGAAAAGAATGGCGGGAAAATTCGAGATGAGTGATTTAGGCTATGAGGTTATTCAAGGAGAGGATGGAATCGTTTTAAAACAGGAGAGATATGCAAAGAAGATACTTGAAGAAGTCGGGATGAATGAATGCAAGGCAGTACACATACCTATGACCGCCGGTTTGGAACTCTCTAAGGCACAAGATGAGAAGATTGTCAATGGACAAGATTATAGAAGAGTTGTTGGTTGCCTTAGATATTTACTCCATACTAGACCAGATCTTCCTTATTGTGTTGGGACTTTGAGTAGATATCTACAAGAACCAAAAGAGTCACATGGGGCTGTGCTAAAACAAATTTTAAGGTATCTTCAAGGAACTCTCTTTCACGGTCTCTACTTTAAGAATGAAGCGGGAACAGGACTGGTAGGCTATAGTGATAATAGCCATAGTGTAGATGTTGATGATGGTAAGAGTACCGCAGGCCATGTCTTCTACCTTAATGAGTGTCCAATTACATGGTGTTCCCAAAAACAACAAGTAGTTGCACTCTCTTCATGTGAGGCTGAGTTTATGGCGACTACGGAGGCAGCCAAGCAAGCCATTTGGCTCCAAGAGTTGTTTGCTGAAGTCATTGGAACGGCATGTGAAAGAGTAACCATACGAGTTGATAACAAGTCAGCAATTGCACTCACTAAAAACCCGGTGTTTCATGCTAGAAGTAAGCATATCCACCGGAAGTATCATTTTATACGCGAGTGCGTTGAGAATGGTCAAATTGAAGTTGAACATGTTCCCGGCGAAGAACAGAAAGCGGACATATTGACTAAGGCGCTTGGAAGAGTCAAGTTTGGAGAGATGAGAAAGCTCATTGGAGTTCAAGGTGTGCCAAGAGAAGACTTCAAGCTTAAAGGGGAGAATGTTGGAGTAAGCTTGAAGGTTAAGTAACTTGAGCAATAAGTTACTTAATAAAAGGAAGATTAGCTTAAATATTCTAGGAGTTATCTAGAATATTCTAGAAGTTGTAAGTCCTAATTGAGTTAGGATTAGGTCTTGAGAGTTTTATATAAATAGAGGTACCAAGGTGTGGTAACCCAAAGAGTTGAGAGAATAGAGTTTGAGAGCTTAGGTTTTGAGTTATTTTCCTAAGACATTAATAAGAGAGTTATTCTTGTTAATCTTGTGTTCTTGAAACTTTATTGAAACTAGAACATGTCCAGAGAATGCCCCAATCAAAGAGCCATGTTCATCACCCAAAGTGGAGGATACGAGTCAAGACGACGGAGACGATAATGAGATGGAAGAGACCGTCTATGCTGACGTAGGAGAGTCGCTACTGACCTTAAGAGTCCTCAACACTCAGCCTGTTAGTGAGGAGATGGCTCAACGAGAAAACTTATTCCACACTCGATGTACCGTGCGCGATAAGGTATGTCATTTAATTATAGATAGCGGATCATGCACTAACATTGCGAGTGCTTTCATGGTGGATAAGTTAGGATTGGAAACACATAAGCATCCACATCCCTACAAGCTCAGGTGGCTTAATGACAAAGAGGAGCTTAACGTGTCAACAAGAGCTGAAATCCCTTTCACAATCGGCAACTACAAAGACTCGGTGACTTGTGATATTGTGCCAATGCAAGCAGGTCATATATTGCTTGGGAGACCATGGCAATATGACCGTGGAGTGACCCATGATGAGTCTTATTTTTATCGTTTTTAGTCTATGTTTTAGGATTGTATTTTGAGTCAACTAACCTATATTAGATAAATATTAGGACTATTTGATTTACTTAGTGATTTACAGGTCTAAAGAGAGAATATTGGAAAAGAAAGGATTTTGGATCAAATAAGAGTGCAAATGGGCTAAGCATGAAGAAGTCGACCAATCGTGAAGAAATGAAGAAGGATCGACCGATCCAACCAGAGGATCGGTTGATCCCTGAAGATTTGCGACCCACGGTTGAAGAGGCGGCAGAACCGACCAACCAGGCCCATGGACCGTTCGATCCAATCAAAGGCTTTGGCCCAAGACGAAAAGACGGTGGGATCGACCGATCCTACCCGAGGATCGATCGATCCCCGCTTGCCGACTCTCCAAGGATTTCCATTTTTCTTCTTTCCATTTTCTCTTCTCTTTTCCTTTTTGCGGCCTCTCTCCCTTTACTATATAAAGAGGGGCTCGCCTCTTGTAATCATACACAATTCATTCTTCTCCTTTTAGAGTTTGTAAGAGATTCACATCTCAATACACTCTTAGTTTTATTTTATAAAGATGTCTCTTTATAGTTTCATCTTTGTTTCTATTTTTATGCTTGAGTAGTTTCCTTATTAGGCTAGGGTTATTCTGAAGGGATGTGACCGATTATTAGGTTGTTAGTTTGGGAATTTATTTTATAGTTCTTCTTCTAATGTTGTTCTTAATGCTTAGGGCTTGAGTAGCTAACTTTTTCTAAGATCTTAGGTGATTAAACTAGGTGCGAAAGTGGTGTTTAGTTGCTGGAATCAACATTAGGCGAGCAAGATTCCATGGCTTGGCAACGAAAGTTCTTGCCATGGCATCTTGTGAACAAATCAATCTTGTTTTTAATGCTAGCTTTACTTAGGGTTCTCGCGAGAGCGGTTCTTTAATTTAGTATTGCTAAGTAGGTATTTGTGCGAGAGTGACTTACCATTACAATTGTGAATTGAGTTCTAGAACATATCTTAATATTCCTTGTTAATTGATTTAATTGTTTTGTCACATCCCGGATGGTTTCCCTATGCCTAATATTCTTTTATTATTTATTTGTTTATTTATTTTCTAGTTAGGTTATTAGAAAAACCATACTCTTATTTTATTTCGTCTTAGCTTAATTTAATCTATTAATTTTAAAGTGTATCTCTGGTCTCTGTGGATTCGACCCTAAAGTACTACTATGATTACCGTTTTTGATCCGGTATAGTGTATGATAGGTTTTTATTTGTTTGCTCCTTTGAGTGAAGATCAAATTGGCGCCGTTGCCGGAGACCAATAGATACCTTTAGAGTTTTCGAATTGAATTTAGTGTAAAATTTTATTTTTCGTATTATACTAATTATTTTATTTTGTTTTTGTTTTTGTTTTCAGGTGCATGCAATTGAGAAGCCACAAGGCTACCGATTTAGTTGCACTCTCTAACGAAGAACTAGGCCGTTTGGAATGAAGAAGAAGGACCAACTCCGAACCAGCTGAGATGAATCCCCAAGACGTGCTACCAGAAGGAGTTAACCCACCACCACCTGCCTTACCTGAAGGAGGGAACAATCCTCCGAATGTCTTGCCTGCTGCTGCCGGACCGGTCGGTCTAATCCTCGGACCGAACGATCCTCGTGCTACCAGACCGATCGATCCTGCTGCTGGACCGGTCGATCCTCTTGTTGCTGCACAACCTGCTCGTACGCTTGGCGAGCAGGACACACTGGATCGATTCTACGCGAACCGGTCTGCGCTTCGTCCTCCGAATCCCACACGTCAGGACTATGAGATCAAGTATAGCTTGATCAACCTCGTCCAAAACCGATGCTTTAACGGTTTGCCTACGGAGAACCCGATGGACCACGTCGAGGCATTTGAAGCGCTGTGCAATACCACGAAGGCTAATGGTGGGCCTTACGATTACCTGAGACTCACCTTGTTTAAGTTCTCACTTGCGGATAAGGCTTTGAGATGGCTCAAGATGTTGGAGCCCGGTTCCATAACCACCTGGGATGCGTGTTGTGCGAAGTTTCTCAATCACTTCTTCACGAAGGCCCGATCACGCATGAGGAACCAAATTGTCACCTTTAAGCAAAAGGCTACCGAGACTTTCAATGAAGCTTGGGAACGATTCAAAGAGTACGTGAAGGACTGCCCCAATCACGGCTACACGCAAGAGAGCCTCATGACCACCTTCTATGTTGGTATTGACACCCAATATCAGATGGCCCTTGACACTGCAAGCAAGGGAGACTTCTCAACCAACACAGTGGTGCAAGCGACGGCACTTATCGAGAATTTAGCACGGAGTAATAGCGATCATGCTCCCGAGTATGACCGATCAGTGAAAGTGAAGGCTGTGGAGACGGAAGCACTAAAGGATCTCACGCAGAAGGTGAACCTTCTTCTTGCGTGTGAACAACAACCAATGAAGGCATGTGAGTTGGAAGAAGACGAAGACTTGGAGGAGCTCAATTACGTTGGAGGTTACCGTGGTTTCAATCCCAATTACCGGAACCATCCTAACCTCTCTTATCGCAGCAACAACGTGGAAAACCCACAAGACATGGTCTACCCTCCACGCCAACAAGGAGCTTTCAACAAGCCGTCTACGTTTCCTAACTACCCGCCTAAGCCAGCTGCCCCTCAGGAGAATAAGCTGGAGACGATGATGCACTCTCTGATCGAGAGCCATAAGAAGAACGCATCTGAGATCAATGCTAAGATTGACGGGATGTATGGTGACCTTAATGGGAAGTTCACTACCTTGGCGACAAGAGTCGACTCGTTGGATAAAAGAGTTTCATATATGGCTTCCAGCTCCAAAGGAAAAGAAGCTTGTAACGCTGTCGTGGCTCACTCTGGAGTCAACACAAGCTTCAACTCGGATGTGTTTGGAGATGTTTCGAGTTTTCATGGCCCAGGATCGACCGATCTTCCTACCAGATCGACCGATCCTCCTGCTGGTTTCACCCTGTTGACCCGAGAGGTCAGATCGACCGATCCTACCTCGGATCGATCAATCCGTGCTGTTGTTCCAGGCATTTCTGACTCATTTTCGAATGAGAATGATGCGCACTTCGTCGCTAAGGCCGATGTACTCCCCTATAAGCCTCAGAGTCCTTATCCATTGGTGCCTAAGGCCAAGATCGACGAGAAGAAGTATAATAGGTCCAAGGACATCATTGGCGAGTTGATAAAGGAAGCTACGCTTTCCGAAGCTTTGGGAGAACTCCCGTTCTTGAAGAAGATCTGCAGAGATGTGATCAATGGTACTGAAGATGCTGCAGAAGTTGATGCTTACTTGGCGAAACGGAAGGAGGCTAGAGATCCAAAGCTTGTCAAAGTGGAGAAACTTGAAGATCCGGGCAAGTTTGTGGTGCCGTGTTCGATTGATGGAGAAGTCTTTGCTAACTCCCTGTGTGATTCGGGATCAAGCGTGAATGTCATGTCAATGGCGACTGTCCGTAGACTTGATCTCCAAGGGATGGAGACTTCTCAATGCTCATTGAAGTTCGCAAACGCATCCACGACCACTCCTCAAGGCTTTATTGGTGATGTGGAGGTGCGTATTGGCAACCATTTGGTACCCACCGACTTCCATGTGGTAGAGATGAGTGGAGGTTCGGAAACCCCTTTGATCTTGGGACGTGCGTTCTTGACCACGGTTGGAGCCGTTTTTGACCTTGAAGAACCCAAGATGACTTTCACCAAGATTGACAAGAATGTAGCCTACCACCCGGTGCTTGAAACCAATCGCTCGGGATCCAACTTTGCCAATGTGTTTGTAGTGATGAAGAGGACACCTCGTATCCGCGTGAATCGCCAATGGCCTTTCCCTCCCCATACTGCCGGCGTTGTCAAGAGGAATTGCAATTGCAACCCCCCATGCTTTGACCCCACAGAGAACCAAGGAGAAATGCGAGACGAGATTCATCCACATGATCTCAACATGTTCGAGATGCGAGTGAGGATGGTACCGGATGATTATAGTTTCGAAGAAGCTTGGTTCAATTATCCCGGTTTGCAAAGGTGCTTTTGGAGAAGTAGGGAACCTTTCTATGCCATCGAAGCACACTTCTATAGGTCATGTGAGAGAAACAATGAGAGAAGATGTCTTCCCAAGATGGAAGATCCCGGTTGCTTCGTAATTCCATGCGCTATTAATGGAGTCTCGGTATACAATTGTCTATGCGACTCAGGAGCCGGAACAAGTGTGATCCCTACCGCTATCGCTTCTCGATGTGGAATCACCGATTGCTTCCCATCAACTACAAACCTCTACATGGCCGACGAGTCCGTGGTGGTACCAAGAGGAGAACTTCACAATGAGATGGTGCGAATTGGCGATGTGGATGTCCCCACGGACTTCAAAGTTGTAGATGTGCCCGGGAAGCGTCAACAAGTCATCTTCGGAAGAGCTTTCTTGAACACAGTTGGAGCTGTCATAGATACTCCAAATCGCCGAGTATGCTTCACCAATGTTGACAAGGAGGTCTTCTATCACGTCACGCCAAGAGGGAACGCGGTTAGACCCATTCGTATCGAAGACGGAGGTCGCAGTGTGAGCATCTCAGGAGGACGAGTTGGAGGTCCAAGGACTCGTTCACAAGCCTAGAAGAAAGAAAGTCAAGCTATAGACTTAAAACAAGCGCTTCCGGGAGGCAACCCGATGTTTTTGTACTAACTATTATGTTTTGAGCTTTTGATTTTGCTTCTTTTGATTTTTTTTAAGTTCAGACTATTTATAAGTTGAGGATTTAACCAGTGGATCAATGAGAATTTCTAAGTGTTTCAGGAATAGGTTTTAATCGCATAAAGATGCGAAATTTTGGCGATCAGACACTTAGGACCGATCGATCTCCACCACGGATCGATCGGTCTCGCCTGGAAATGAACCGAGGGACAGAAGCCTCGGGATCGACCGATCTACACCAGGGATCGATTGATCCTGACTCAGGTATTTCGAAAAAAATTGGATTTTCCGGTTTGAATCGGTTTGTCACTTGATTCAAACCGGATTAAACCGGTTTTAGGGTTTAAAGTCGATGGAGGATCGAGCTCTCTCTCTTCTCCATCGATCCCTCTCCTCCATAGCTCTCTCTCTCTAAAAATTCAATCCTCAAAATCTCTCTCAATTCTCCATTGTTTTTATTGATTCTTGGTGCTAAATTACACTATTTTTCGAGCTCTAACTGATCCCCCTATACCCAGCTTGATTCGATCAAGGTACAGAATCCAAATTTTTTTGAAAAAAAGATTTCGGGTTTTTACACTTTTGGGTGTAAGAGCTTTGTAATCTCTTGGAATTAGGTTGTTGGGAATGCTATAGGATTGTTAGTTTCTCTGTTTTGAAATGCATTTGATTTTATTGTGAGAAACTTAGAAATTTTGTGTATTAAGCCTTAGAATTTTGATTTTAGAAGTTTAGAAATGCAAATTGATGGATTGAGAGAGACGATTGAGTTCGAGAGAGTGATAATTGCTGGTTGCATGTGTTTAATGCCATTACATGTATCGATTTTTCTGTTTTGCATTTCGCGAGTGCGATAGAGATTTCGATTTTATGTTTAATTGGATGTGTTGCTTGCGTCGCACTGCTTGTTTCTATAAGTTTCTAAAATCATTTTGATTTTTGTTAAGCTTTGTGAATTGTTCTCATTTGTGTTTAAGTATTTTCTGTTTTCAGGAAATGGCTCCAAGATGACGTAGCGGCAAAGAACCAGCCACCGGAGAGCGAGAGTGGACCCAAAAGGATCAAGAAAACACCATTGCACTCCGCGCTTGCACGTTCGAGCCTACACGGTTTCTGGAAACCGATGTTCTGAGAGCGATGGGCATCCTCGATGATGTCTTGGGATTTCTGCGCAATGCTGGCTTCGGTTCTTTCCCGGAGAAGCGATGGGATATCTATCCCAATGCCGCAGCCGAGTTTCTCGCCACGCTGCAGGTCCATTACCCTACGGACCCACTTGATGCCACCGACGCATTCATCTCCTTTTTCCTGTCTAGGAGACACTTCACCATCACACTCCACCAGTTGTGTGATCTATACGGCTTCCCGCGTCGCGAGAAGACCAGTTCGATGGCATCACTGATCCATCTGCTTTCTGGCAGACTTTTGGGTCTGGTGAGTATGTTTCTCGAGGTGCCAAGCAGGCACTTATCCGTAACCCGGTGATTCGCTTGGCGGTCCGTTTTATGAGCAGCACTATCTTTGCCCGTGCTGAGATGGGTACTTTGCAGCTCCCTGAGCTATCCATGTGCTTCTATGGGCTCCACCCATTCATCACTGACCCCACCGCGGCCAACTACAACAAGACGCACCGCGTCAACTTTGCCGCATTACTTGTCCAGGAGTTCATCCAGGTGGCGAAGCAAGCATTTCGGTCTAAGAAGAAGGCGATTTTGATTGGGATCTTGGTGACACCTATCATCACCCATTGTCGTTTCAACATCGCGCCTCCCGTTCCTGAGCATAAGGCGCGATTCATTGATCGGGAGCACCTTTACGCGAGCGAGATCCTCATCCGCCACTCGCTAGTCTACCGTTTCCAGGGTTCTGACGGGGTCTACAGGTACATTCGCCTGCCCCGCATTGATTTGACATCTCTCGCTATTCCAGGAAACATTCGTTTCAACCCGACTGCTGGGGCGCTTTGCGAGAGACCTATCCCGCCAAAGACTAGTGGTGTCCGGAGAGCAGCACGCACCAGATGCACTGATGAGGCTGGCCCTTCTGAGCCTTCTTCATCTCAGCCACCGCCATTTCAGCCATTCTCCGGACAGGTACCTCCATTTGAGCTTGACGTGAGCGCTTATACCGCTACAGACCCACCTGCGGAGCCGGCTACAGAGATGGAGCGTTGGATCTGCGAGACGACCAAGAAGAACAACACACTGCTGACAAAGATTGCTACTTGGCTTTGCTGCGTCGCACCACCACCACCACCTCCGCCTCCAGGCGTACCTACTCCAGTGCATGAGTCTGACCCTGAGGACGATACCTTCGCCGCTGTTTTTGCCGTTCGCACAGACGATGTTGATGAGGAGTACTCTTCAGATCCTCCTGGTCGGTCCCATACATGGCACTCTTCATCTAGCCATGATGATTCGGAGACTAGCGTGCAGGACGACTTCCGCATACGCACCAGGAGGAAGGCAGGCGATAGGGGCACTCCACCGTCTCTTTAGACTCCATATTCACTGGTTACATCCTCTGTACTATATATTTTTAGTCTCTTTTTGAACTTATGTATTTTTATATTTGGATTTGTATCTCTAACGGAAGGATCGACCGATCTCCTCTTGGGATCGATCGATCCTCTCTTTATGTTTTCTGACTTTTGTTTTCTTTTGATTTGCATTTCCTTTCTTTGATTTTTCTTACACACCGGGACGGTGTGAAGTAAGTTTGGGGGGATATGTGACTATTAGGCTAACATTTTCATTTTATTTGAGTCGTTTTATTGAGTCAAAATGGTTTAGAACTTGAAACTTCTTTTGTGAATCGTGTGTTCGTACTAATATCTTCTGCTATCCGTCATGACTATCCTTTTGAAGAGCCGAAGATTGGAACGCCATAGCCGAACAACTCACCAGAAGTCCCTATCTCTTGGAAATCCGATTGACCTGGCGTTGACTCCACCCATGACAAGACGTTAATTTGGACTTAATCTTCTCAACTTGGGGCTTGGTATACATCGAACGCGACCTCTGACTCAATGCTTCCCAAGACGCGCATAACAAAGAAAAGAAAAGAAGTATGGATTCCCCTCTCTTCTCCTGAAAAAAAAAAAAAAAAAAAAAAAAAAAAAAAAAAAAAAAAAAAAAAAAAAGAAAAGGGATGTGGTAAACAAAGAAGTGGACTGATGAGGGATGCATGGTTACTCCCTTGCATACTTCGGATTCATGAAAACCAACCCCGGGCTAAAGAGAAAAAGATGAAGGAGATCGAAAAGAAAAAATAGAGTGATACCCTAAAGAAGGGAGAAATCGATCTCAAAAGAGTAAAAGGGGAAGAGGAGGAAAGGAACCATAAGAAGAATGTCTTGGGAGCTAGAGGAAGGTGAGCGTCTACGCGATCTTTGATCGATACTCAGACCGCATGCTTGTAAAGAATGAATGTAGGGAGTCAACAAAGAAGATTTTGGAGCTTCCTTGAGATCTCGGGACACCAGTACGGAGAGTTGCTAAGCCAATGGTCAATACATGTTGTAAGCTCAATCCTTTTAGAAATGGATTCACGGAAGATGTACGGAGATTCTCGAGAAGTTGTAAGTTCTTGTTTTCAAACCTTTCCCTTTAAGATTTCGGATTGTTCTTGCTTGAGGACAAGCAAAGATTCAAGTCTGGGGGAATTGATGAGTCTTATTTTTATCGTTTTTAGTCTATGTTTTAGGATTGTATTTTGAGTCAACTGACCTATATTAGATAAATATTAGGACTATTTGCTTTACTTAGTGATTTACAGGTCTAAAGAGAGAATATTGGAAAAGAAAGGATTTTGGATCAAATAAGAGTGCAAATGGGCTAAGCATGAAGAAGTCGACCAATCGTGAAGAAATGAAGAAGGATCGACCGATCCAACCAGATGATCGGTCGATCCCTGAAGATTTGCGACCCACGGTTGAAGAGGCGGCAGAACCGACCAACCAGGCCCATGGACCGTTCGATCCAATCAAAGGCTTTGGCCCAAGACGAAAAGACGGTGGGATCGACCGATCCTACCCGAGGATCGATCGATCCCCGCTTGCCGACTCTCCAAGGATTTCCATTTTTCTTCTTTCCATTTTCTCTTCTCTTTTCCTTTTGCGGCCTCTCTCCCTTTACTATATAAAGAGGGGCTCGCCTCTTGTAATCATACACAATTCATTCTTCTCCTTTTAGAGTTTGTAAGAGATTCACATCTCAATACACTCTTAGTTTTATTTTATAAAGATGTCTCTTTATAGTTTCATCTTTGTTTCTATTTTTATGCTTGAGTAGCTAGTTTCCTTATTAGGCTAGGGTTATTCTGAAGGGATGTGACCGATTATTAGGTTGTTAGTTTGGGAATTTATTTTATAGTTCTTCTTCTAATGTTGTTCTTAATGCTTAGGGCTTGAGTAGCTAACTTGTTCTAAGATCTTAGGTGATTAAACTAGGTGCGAAAGTGGTGTTTAATTGCTGGAATCAACATTAGGCGAGCAAGATTCCATGGCTTGGCAACGAAAGTTCTTGCCATGGCATCTCGTGAACAAATCAATCTTGTTTTTAATGCTAGCTTTACTTAGGGTTCTCGCGAGAGCGGTTCTTTAATTTAGTATTGCTAAGTAGGTATTTGTGCGAGAGTGACTTACCATTACAATTGTGAATTGAGTTCTAGAACATATCTTAATATTCCTTGTTAATTGATTTAATTGTTTTGTCACATCCCGGATGGTTTCCCTATGCCTAATATTCTTTTATTATTTATTTGTTTATTTATTTTCTAGTTAGGTTATTAGAAAAACCAAACTCTTATTTTATTTCGTCTTAGCTTAATTTAATCTATTAATTTTAAAGTGTATCTCTGGTCTCTGTGGATTCGACCCTAAAGTACTACTATGATTACCGTTTTTGATCCGGTATAGTGTATGATAGGTTTTTATTTGTTTGCCCCTTTGAGTGAAGATCAACCCACAATGGCCGCACCAACCGGTATTCATTCGACTATGCGAACCGGCGAATCACTTTAGCACCATTAGATCAAAGTGAGGTTCGTGCTATGCAAGCTAAGTCAAAAAAAAAATCAATAACAAGGTAAATTTTTATGCTCAAAAGATTATTACCCCCTATCTTGATGACGATATGATACGCTTGTCTTCTGTCAAAAGGCCTTCAACAGGTTTGGAGAAGCTAGAAGATCCACCGGATACGCTTACTCTCAAACTAGATGAACCAATTAAGAAGTTACCGAAGCTGTACCAGAGGCAAAACCAAGGCGTAATCCACTCCATGCTAATCCAAGAAGCACCTCCAGTGACGCAAGACTGGACCAGACCCTCACCACTTCAAGGTTGTAGAACTTTGAACTCTCAAAGTATTTAAGGATCGGACAACACAGATTTTACTCTGTTTTGTCTTACTCTTTCCTTTTGAAACAATACTCAACGTATTCTTGTAAACGAAAACCACACACTTTTATTAGATATATAAACTGTATTTATAGTTTTACATTACACACTTTGACTAAGGGACACGTCTCTACAAGACAACCCAATGTAGAGACACATACATACACGTGTAACTGTCTTGCAGTTAACGATTCTATTCGTATCTCTTCGGTGTGTAATACGAATAGTTTATACATAACAAAACTCAGTTACTTAACTATATAATATATGACTCATCTAAAATAATAAAATAAGATGAAGACTTGATCAAATCCAACACTCCTCCTTGATCATGGCTTCATCGTTACGCCTAGCTCTTCTCGTAGAACCTCGAACCTTGTTGTGTTTAAGGGCTTTGTCAATATGTCAGCTATTTGTAACTCTCCTTTCTTGTTTTCTTCCTTCTCTTCAAATGCAACGTTAGCATCTTTAGACATATGATTGGTGCATCCGCTATCCACCAACCATGTCTCTTCACAAATTGTTGAAGCTTCTTCTTCTTCAACGGCACTAAAGAGCATATGACATTAATCTTCGTTGTCATCTTCTGACTCTTCAAAACTTAGATGTGCTCTTCCACTTCGTCTAAGTTTACAATCTTTAGCTATGTGCCATGGTCTATCACACACATAGCATTTTCTGTCGTTCTCTGAACTCTTTTCCGGAACACCTCTGTTCTTCTTTGTCCAACAATCTACCTCATTGTGATTGTTTCTTTCACACACGCCACACCACTCTTTGGTCTTCCCATGGCGTTTCTTGTCTTGCTTGTTTCCTCTTTTCGAACCAAGCTTTTCTCCATAAAACGCACCCTCATTGATACGTTCTTCTCGGAGACTCAAGCGCTTCTCATGCGCTTTCAAAGTACCTATCATCTCTGTCATAGAGAGAGTTGATAGATCCTTTGTTTGTTCAAGGACCGCAACGATGCTATCAAACTGTTGCGGCAAGGAGATAAGAACCTTTTGAACCAATTGGTAATCGGTCTTTTCTTCACCATGAACTCTTAGTTGATTACTCATATTAATCAACTTGGTTGTGAAATCATTTATGCTTTCACTCTCCTCCATCTTCAGATTCTCATATTCTCTTCTCAAGGTCTGAAGATTAATCATCTTTACTTGTGAACTTCCTTGGAACTCCATTTCCAAAGCGTTCCAAGCTTCTCTTGCGCTTGATGCGGGAGCGATTCTCGGAAATATTGAATCAGAAACTGCACTTTGAAGAATCTGAAGAGCCATCATATCCTTCATCACTGAATCATCTCTCGCTCTGATACCATGTAGAACTTTGAACTCTCAAAGTATTTAAGGATCGGACAACACAGATTTTACTCTGTTTTGTCTTACTCTTTCCTTTTGAAACAATACTCAACGTATTCTTGTAAACGAAAACCACACACTTTTATTAGATATATAAACTGTATTTATAGTTTTACATGACACACTTTGACTAAGGGACACGTCTCTACAAGACAACCCAATGTAGAGACACATACATACACGTGTAACTGTCTTGCAGTTAACGATTCTATTCGTATCTCTTCGGTGTGTAATACGAATAGTTTATACATAACAAAACTCAGTTACTTAACTATATAATATATGACTCATCTAAAATAATAAAATAAGATGAAGACTTGATCAAATCCAACAAAGGTAAGATCTTAAACTCGCAAAGAAAATCATATACTAACTTACTTTCGTTTGGTACAGGTCCTTTAGTTTCGAGGTCGAAACTTCTTCAAGAGAGAGGGTATGATGCGGACATCGTACCTGATACAAGAGATGGCTTACTTACTGATGCACTGGCTGACGAACTGCTTGGAGGACTTTCTGATGAACCTGCTGAAGTACCTGCTGAAGTACTATTTGTGCTGCAACAGCTTGAACCAAATAAGGAAGATCGTGAACCAAACTTGGAACCAGCTGATACCACGACTTGGGAACCCTCTTGGAGTCTTAGAAGGTTCATATTTTGCCAAGGAAAGCGTCCTAATTCATTTGGAGAAGAAGGGTACTCAAAAAAGAAAGAAAGAGCTCCACTTGCCTTATTTGAAGATCTCCACACTTATGTGCACCTAGGACC